GTTATATATATATATATATATATCTTTATATAAAAATATATATTACATAATGTATATTTAAATTAAATCAAAGAATAACGCCTATGCTGAATATTTACTTAAGTAAGTAATAAGTTTTGGTGCAGCGGCACGACTAATGTTTTTTTCTTGGCAACTTTGGCAATTAAACTGTCATTCTTCGATTAATTTTTCTCAACTATATTTTTTTTTTAATAAATACATTATAATACTTGCATTACATCGTGACCGTTAGCGTAACACGTGTTTGGTGTTACAGGACCTTGGTGGCTATGCTGTGGAAAAAGTGAACGAATGGGCGTACGAACAACCCCGACTTCCCAATGAAGGTGTTAAACCAGAGTTCCAATACTTTTTTTTAGAGACAGAAATATATTTTCACACGAAACGCAGTGAGAACGAGCAGAGCGAAGTAAGGTCTAAGTATGATCACATATGTAAACATAATTCCTTTCACGTACCATTATACCAAAGGAGCGAGGGAGTGGGTTATATACATATACGCACTTATGGTATGTATTTACACATAGCTCCGCAAAATACTACTGTTCATTTTACTATGTGAACACTTTTTTGTGCTGTTGAAGCCGCGGAAATGCTGAAGATGAGCTTGAAAGCTTTTTGTTTATTTTTGAAATTACGCTAAGAACTATATCTAAACTGGAATGTCACTTATTTATATAACGGTTGAAGTTTATAACTGGAGCAGAAGCTGATTTTGTGACCTGGTTAGAAATTTCAAATAGGCGCATATTTTTTGTGCTAATAAATGTTAATTATTGTTTTGTTTATTTAGCTAAAAGCTTTCTATGGTGTGCGGCAGTTTAAAAAAAAAAACAAATGAGCTTTTAAGCACGAAAGAGAAGTGCTTAAAGGCATAGCTTGTACATTTTTACGACAGCTTTAAGAGTTTTAATCCTCAAGTTTTCAAAATTTGTAAAGCCAAAAGCTTTAAAAAAACTTTTATTTTAATAGAAACTTATATTTAATATACATTTTTATCCGCCATTTTGATATAAAAACCTTCCGATTCACATTTCCGTAATAGTTTAACAATACAAAAAGCTTTAAATTTGTTTTGTAAAAGCTTAATTTAAAAGCTTTAGAAAAATTTAAGTTATCCACTTTAAACAATGTCAACATTAGAAATAAAGAGGCAATTTGAACATAAAACGAGTTTTTAAAGAAATGTTCACATAACTTTTGATTTATATGTTTGAAAAGTGTTTATAAATCAATTTTGTAAAAGCTTCCACGAAGGAAAGTAGCTTTAAGTTTGAAAATCATTTTTAAGATTAGATTATAGTAATTTTAAGCTAGTATTTTAGATGTTTTTGTTATATTTTTAACATAATATATTGTTCGAAGCTTTTTCAACTGTTTAAAGCAAATATTAAGCACATTTACTAATATATAATAATCACGAGTGCATAGTATTACATTTGGTATTTGAGTGTTTTTACGCCTTTTGATTGAGATCACTTCAATATTATTTTGGAAAAAAAACTGCTGACGCACACCAAAAGTTTAATAAAGCTTTAAAAAGCAGCTTTAAAAGAGTAATATTGTTTGAATAGGAGCGAGCTTAATATTACACGGATTTCGGTCTTCTCAGAAGCAAAACGCCTGTAATTTTTTTACTTAAAGCTTAAGCGTTTTGCTTAACGTTCACTTGTATTACAATAACGGTAGTAAGTCTAGTAACACACATTATTACTTTTTTATACAAAATTTATATTTCTAGCGATGCAAGAGTTGAAACAAAGTACATAAAATTTTTTCTACCAACAATGAAAAGCTAGAAAGAATTAATAAAAGCTCATAAGTTACTTTTTGCGAGATCATGTGTCAGTTGTGTGTTTCATACTTAATGCATATAGTTTATGCGCTTGCAAATGTGGTTGTTGTGGAAATTATTTACTTAGTTCTGTATATTTATAAGGTGTATAGGATATATTTTCAGTAGCCGACATGCACTTCAGAAAAAAGATTAACAGTTACTTAATATATATATATTTATACTGTAATTAATATATTTGCAATGCAGCATTGCTTCAATTGTACAAAAGCTTTTAAGTTCGTTCATATTCCAGCACAAAAATTGTTTTACAAAATGTTTTTTGTATTTTTTGGTTTTTCAACACTAATTCAAATTTTAATTGAAAGCTACAGATGCAGTAATATTTTGCAGAGGAGTTGGTTTGGTCTCACATACATAAATATACGTGGTACATATGTATATACAATATAAAAATTGGAGCAAATAAATGTGTATGGCAACGCTGATGATTTCGAGCGAAAACGAAAAAAACAAATGTAGGAAATAGCGACACAAGAAAAAAAGCTTTAAAAATATATAAGCACGAAGATTAAAGCTTAAAGGGGAAATGTTATTAAAATATTTTTATTAAGCATAAGGAGAGTAGTAGCATAAAAGAGTAAATATAAAAGGTAGCATTAAAATAAGAATAACTATGAAATTACAAGAAAAAAGCTTTGAAGAGAGGAAAGTAAAAAGCTTTGCATGAAATGGTTATGTTTCAAGAAGGTGAAGAGATCAAAATGAATTCAAATATATACTTTACGAAATAACTGTAAATGGATATGGAAAGCCTAAGCATTTATTTCGAAAGCTTTTTTTTCTTAAATTAAATATAATACGTAAAAATATATATTTTTGTTATTATGGCATTGGAACTCATTCGAGCGGTTGCCAAATGTCATAGCACAATCTTTGATCGAGCCAATAAGAGAATTAAAAGCGTGTCTTTAGCCAGCAAAGAGAATGCATAAAGGTAACATACAACAGACACCGGCGCAAAGAGAGACGAACACATAACACCATTATTCCAAAAAGTAGATACTCGCAGTAAGAAATACAGTGAACGCAAAATGGACAATAACATACACTAATGTCTTATGTAAATGTGTTTATGTAGCGAAACGGCGGAATACAACGAATGACTCGAGGATAGGAGACGTCAACGAGCTTTAGGGAATTATAATGAAAATGAGCGGAATTGTGCAAAGCGAAATGAAGATGAAAATGCAATGAGCTCAGATGAGAGCAACTGAAAAAAGGTTGGAGAAATTAAAATAAACATATGAGAAATGAAAAAATAATTTAACAAACAATAATTATAATAAAAATATTTAAAAAAATCAAAGTAATTAAAAAAACAAAATTAAAGTTAACAAAACTTAAATAAAGACAGTGACGGTGGATAAAATATTTTATTCGATAAAAAAATGATTAAATTTCATAAAATTTATTTTCACTGAAACAAATTTTGTTTATTTTGTAAATGTTGCTAATAATATACCAAGTTTCGAAAGTTAAATGTGATGCAACAACGCTGCTAAATTGATATTGTTAATAAAAAATTGCCTCCTAGCAATTAGCAATGCTATTGAATAATATTTCTGGTTTTTCACCGGAATATGTTGTTAAGCCCTGTTTTCGTAGCAACATTGTTGCCAGCGAAAGCTAAGTGAGTTGAAGCATATATTATGTCTCTATATGTTTTTGATAGCAACAAAGTTTTATAACAATTAAGTTGAGCTTGAATTATGGCAAATAATTAAAAAAATGTATTTTATTATTTTTGTGGAGATGAATGTATTGAAAATTGTTTATTTAAGACATTTTTAATAAAAGTAAAAAAATATGTATAATATCAAGAAAGAACATCGTAAATAACTTAAAGGGGAATGTTCAAATAGTACTAAAGTATAAAAAAATTTTATAAAAAATTATTAGTAAAAAACTATAACAAAAATTTTAAAGGAAAAAATACAAGAAATTAACAAGGGTAAACTGAAAACAAAATATATTTTGAGCAATCAAAAACAAAGCACTTAAAATAAAAAAAATAATCTTACAAACAAAAAAACTTTAAAATATTTAAATTATAAAAATTTAAAATATTTAAATTATTAAAAATGATATTTTCGAAAAAATATAAATGCATATAATAAAGAAAAAATAAATAAATGAAAAGGTGAAAAAAGAATTTTAAAAATAAATAAAGTCAAATTAAAGGAAAAATAAAGACTTTAAAACAAAATATAAAATACAATAATAAAAAATATTCAAGTTCATATGATTCCAGAGATAGTATTAAAATATTTTTTATTAGACAAAGATTAATAATTTTCGAACAAATATTTATATAATAATGAAAAGATAAATAAATGAAAAAGTAAAAGAGTATAATTTTAAAATACAAAATATGAAATAAGATGAAAAATATTAATAAAACAACAAAATAGATTGAAACCAACCAACAATTTTAAAAATAAATAAAAGAAAAAAATTTGAATATTTGTATTGTTAAGCATACATATTTATGCTAAAAAAGTTATTATTAAAAATAAATAAAAAAACAGAATTTTAAAGAAAATGATAAAAATAAATAAATAATTAAATATTGGAAAAATTATTAAAAAAAAATAAAAAATTAAAAACCAAATTTTAAAATGAAATTATTAAATAATGAATAATAAATGAAATTTGAAAATAATGAATAATAAATGAAGTTTGAAAATAAAGATAAAACCTTTCAAAAACAACAAAAGAAAAATTAAAAACAAAAAATATAAAAAATAATATAAAAGGATATATAATAACAGAAAAACATTTATTTTCGAAAAAGCTTGAAAAATATGTGCAACACAAAATTGAAATTGCAAATCAGTCTGCATAAATTGTTAATTAAAGTAGACTTAATAGGTATATTTAGATATATAAATATGAGAAGAGCAAATGAGCGAATAAGCGGGACGAAAATGTGTGCGTGGAACTATGATACCGAGCAGTAATTGTCTATGCAACATGGGGTATACGACTTGATTTTGTTGTTTTTTTTTTTGGCTAAACGCTAAACTAATATATTTATGTACGAGAGTATAGTTTAAGTAAAAAAGCATTTTTGTTGTTTATAATTTTTAATATAATACGTTTCTTTTTTTCTTAATTTTCATCAAATTTGACGTTTTCAAATTGTATAATAGTTGTTGTTGTTTTGTTTGCTATGTTATTACTTTACTTTGCATATTAAACATAGTATTAATAATGATAACAATAATAGTAATCAATATATATATATATATACATACATATATGTATATATTATGCATTAGTCAAATTGTTTAATATTTTGTTGTTGTACGTATGTATGTTTGTTTGTTGTAATTATTTAGAATAATAATTATTTGCGTGTATGGTTTAGCAAACATTTGTGTGTTGTTGTAAATGCTAGTTGAAATCGAATTGCAGTAATTAAATAGTATTTTATTATCGTTAAGAGTTGATAATATTTAGTTGTACATACATACAGATACATATACATACATAAATACAAGTATGCATAATAAATAGAGATTATGTAAGTAAGTATAAGTAATCATCAAATATACACAATCCACAAAATTTGCAAAAAACTGGCAATAATATATGTTGTTTTTGTTGTATTTACTTTACTCGTTTTCATTTATGTAATTTACATACTCGTAGTACCAACGTGTATATAACACTCTGTATGCTTGTGTTTGTGTCTAGCTGTGTATATGTGTGTTTGTGTGTGTGTATATGTGCGTTTGCAATTTTGCTGTTGCTAGTTAGTTACGGACAATTACGAAGCATACGCAATTAATTAGCAGCGATAAGTAGTTACAATTTAAATAGGCTTTTTCATTTTCAAATAAAATTCTCTTCAACGCAAATTATTTGTACGTATGCATATGCTGTAGTTGTTGTTGTTGCTGCTAAATTGTTGTCAATAATATTTTTGCATTAAATGCAGGCGTGTGTCTGGGTGTGTGTATGTGTTTATCGACACTTTACTATTGTAGTTACGTATATGTTTTCACTGAATATTAATTTGCTGTCGTTGCCATATCTAATTTTTTTTCAAATATTCTTTTTAAATTTTCATATCGCAAACGATATTGTTTTTTTTAGTACTTTTTCATTGTAGCGTAACATTTCCAAACATATTTTTTTACATTTTGTCGTTTAGTTTTTCTAACTCTATATTAATGTTACTACTTTCTTTCCTTTTTTCACATTAACTTATTTCTCAATACTTTCATAGTTAACTTTCGTACGCTTATAAAATTACTTGTCTTGAAGAACCCTGAAATACCGTGACCAAACTTTACTATCATGAATCTCCTGTAAGCTTTCACGCTGCGTGTATTCTTAACTGGGAACTTTCACTATTTAACGATTTCGAACATGCGAGCTTTCACAAAGGTCCTGTGAGCTTTCACGCTACGAATATTCTTAACTGCGAGCTTTCACTACTTAACGATTTCGAACTTTCGAGCTTTTGAGCTTGCACATACCTATATCTTAAAGCTTACACATTATATTTGTATGCCTTTCTACATTAATTTTTACGTTCGAGCTTTCAAGCTTTCTTTATATTCATTCTCTCGCTGTTTTGCTTTAAATTTACAACGTTGCAGCAGTTTTTCTAAAGAACGAGGTATTCTTACTTTCTTCTATAAAATATTTGTAAATAAAACATTTCCCACAAAAGCTTTTAAGATTCATTTCATTCTAACGCTTTCATTTATTATATGGACGGTTAACAATTGTTTTCACACTACTATAAAGTAATTGAATGACGTCCTGTGCTCAATTTCATTTTGAGAATAAAAAAAATATTATAAAACTTATAGGGAGCTTTTTGCATTTGCGCAAACTTTCTTGGCCTAATATGTACTATTCTACCTAGAAAATAAAAATTAAGAATTTTGGAAATCTATATATTCAGAATAAATGGGATTTTTAAAGCGATTTAATAGAATGTTAAGCTTTTGAACATTAAAAGCATCAAAGTTTGGTAGATATATATACATTTTTGATATATGATTAGTAAAAATAAATTTTTTGAAAGCTTTTGAGACTTTCAAAACATTACTACCGTTTAAAAAACTTTTTTAATGCTGTAAAGCGTTTGACTTTTGAAGAATTCTATAAATAAAAAAATAAAAGGAAATGAAGCTTTTGAGCTTTCGCCTGCGATTTTAACTGTCGAGAACTATCACTATGTATAAAAGCTGCTGGAAAAAGTGCTTCTAAAAGTTGTCTGGCTTCAACTAGTCTAGGCTACTGACTGCAATCCATACAACCGATGTCTTATACATCTCTTCTTTACGGTTCAAAATTTTGGCTCTATATCTTTTTTATTGTTCACGGCTTCTATTTATTGAAAACTTCAACATTTTTTTTTTTAAAGTGAAGTGTTTTTTTAGTTTGTTGTCATTATTGGTGCTGTGTGTCTGTGCTTTAAGTGTGCATTAGTATCAAAAGCTCAAAAGCTACGATATAAAAAGCGGTTGTATAAGAAAACATTGTGGACTATTTCAAAAAGCTGTTGTGAAATAATAAATTTGAGCAAAACATAATATAAAGCATTGGTTTTAAATATCGGAAAATAATAAGTTGAAGTAAAATCTCGAAATATTTAGATTTCACTATTATTTTTTGCCTATTTAACATTTTTGCCTTGTAATCTTCTACGCTGCAGTTCCATATTTTCTTCCGTTCACAAATTTGTCTTAAACACATTACAAAAAATTTCGTTTTTTTGCCAATTCGTGCAGTGTTACCGTATGTAATTATTATGTTTTTAAATTTAGTATTTTTCTTTATTTTTTCTTTCTGAACTGTTTTGCATTGAACTGTGGAACTGTTATTTATACGTTCACTACTTTCGTTAAATATTTAAAAATATTATAAACTTTATAAATATTGGAAAATATGTATTAGTGTATAAGTAGTATACCGTTTCGACGGCTCCTTTATATTATCAGTATTTTTCGCAAAAAACGTCAAACTTTCAAAACTTCTAAATTCTAACGTTACGCTAAATTTTTTAACTTGAAAATCTTATGTATTATTTGGTATACAATTTTGTTTTTGTTTTTATAATTCCATTGTAATAAACTTTGTTTTCAAAATGTAAAACTTCAATTAAATTCCCTAATAATTTTTTGTAAATATTTTGTATAGTTTTTTCGTATTCTGCCCTCGTAGTTTTATATGATAAAGATATAGTAATTAAAAGTAAGAAAAACAGAAAAGTTTTAAATAATTTAAAAATAAAACTGGAAAAGCGGCCGGTATTGATAGTTATTAAAAATTTGTTTAAAAGCTTTTTCTAAATCTCCAAGTTTTTTGAATGAAAATATATTAAAAATCTGGATAAAAATGTTCCTAAGCCCTCGCACGGCAAGACTTTCTCTACGTTTTGGAAATTTATATATAAAAAATTAAAAATTAGCAAAAGCTTGCCTAATACTGTACTTGCCTTTAGTAAGCTTTTGCCTAATTATGCAACATATAGCCAAAATAACAGATTTTTAAGGCAATTTATATCAAAAAGCTTTCATCAAGTAAACTAAAACTTAATAATGGCTAAGATTTCTTAAAAGACAAAATAAATAGTTTAAAGCTGAACTTTTTTATCGCTTGGAGTATGCATGCGAATTGAGCTTTTCGTTCAAAAGCCTTGTTGCTAAGCTTTTGAAAATTATAAGTTCTGTAGCTGTGGCATGGTTAGCAACTATAGATTTGTATTTTTTCTTATAGTAATATTATATTTTTACAAACATAATGATTTGAAAGCTTGTAGACTTTTGTTAAATTTTAATTCTCGTTAAAGCTTTAAAGAAATTAACAATTATGTTTATTATATAACAAGCAGAACGAAGAGAAAAATCATATTTGCATACAATAATAATTTAAAATTTTTAGCACCACTTCAAAAAGTTTACAGAGAAGATCAATACGTTTCATAGATTGAAGCTTTCGAGCAACATTTTAAGGAGATATTTAGACAACGAAGTTTTCAATGTTATCGTTGTGAGCATAGAGAAAAGCTTTTGAAATTAAAAAATAAATACTGTGATCTTTTTTATTGAATAAGTGATTTCTACTCACTCTTAGTGTTGCTCTCGATGGTAGTTCATAGTAGCATTTGTCCAAGTGAGCAAGAGACATAATATAAAACTTCTTGAGAGAAGTCAGTGAAGATTCTCGAAGTGAGAATTGATCTTTCTAAATACTAAAGCTATTAAAAATTACAAAATAAAATGAAGATAATGCACAAAAATATATAAACTTAATATATAATAAATACTCGTAGATTGCAGCTGGCAAGTTTTAATGACAAGGGTTTCAAGACACAATATCAACTAAGAGATCTAAATATTGATATATTATCAATTCATAAAAAATGTGTTTGAAAAATGAAGGCACTAAAATGAGAGCATACATTACTTACACATATTTACATAGAAGCCAGCACGCGAGAGAGCGCGCCAATGAGATAATGATGGAGAAATAAATGTATATACAAAGAAACATAACTAAAGGAGCAAATGAGGACAGAAAAGCTTGTGGAAGCGTGAGTAATTTATAAACCTTAAGAGGAGACCAAATAACGTAAGAGAGAGAGAGAAAGAGTCTTAAAGAAAGAGCAAACGCAAGCAGGAAAAGCTAACGATAGATTCTTTTTGCAAGTTTTCACCTAAACCACAACAAATTAAAAGTAGAATTTAAGAATAAAATATTCAACCAATAAAATGGAGTGCTTTTTCAAGCTATTACAATATTAAGCAACCAAACAAAAAATACCAATTGTTTTTTTTAAGCTAAATATATATATATTTTAATATACATAAATTGATTTTCCAAATTATTTTCACAAATTAAACAAACAATTAATTAAAAACATAAAATTACAATAGCAATGAATATATGTACTTATTAATAATAACAGTAGTCAGTGGTGGTTAAAATATTTCAAGTGTATAATTTTCTTATTTTTTTTTGTTTTGTTTTTTGCTTTTACATATACTAACAAATGATGTAATTTATATTTTTATTCCCAAATAGACGAGAAAAAGGCAAACTAACAGTGATACAAAGTTTTTAGTAATTAGATTTAGATAAAAAATAACATACATATATATATGTATATAAATATAATATTTATAACCAAATAATATGACATACAGGAAAACAGTTAAAAAATAATGAAGGTTTCTCTTTAGCGTGTGCTAATAAATACAACGAATTTCTAGAGCATAGATTTATAGGTAGATAGCGATATATTTCATTTTGTTTTTGTCACAATTAGATACTAATACGCCAGCCAGATAGTAAAGCACACGAGCTTTTCGATTATACATCGCCGCTCAGCTTTATATATAGACTTTTCTTAGTTATTTTACATATTTGCATATCAGTTTTTTGTTTTTGTTTTTAAAATTATTATGTAGCGGTATCATCTTAATTTGAAACTTCAAGCATTATTTTGTGTGTGCTATTTTTCTTTTTATCAACGCACTTACATACATTGATGGTTGCCATATATTTGTGAAAAAAATTTTGTTTCTTTAATATTTGTAATTTTTTTCAGTGTACAGTCAAAACAAAGCAACTTAGAATGAGTGAGTGGAAGAGAAAGCGCACAATCATAGCTAAGTCAGTTGTTTTGCTATTTCGTAGTGTGTAGAAAGCGTTCTGAGCACAAGATCGTTAGCTTTGTGTATGCATATGGTGTGACAAAGTTTTTATGAGAGCGCTTGTTTGAGTGTGAGAGAATTCGCTAGCGTAGCGCTGTTTTGTGATTGTGGGTGAGTGTTGTTTCCTGTTAGAGAGCTTTTGAACGTAGTGCTGTTTTAAGTGTGAGAGTGGCGGTGTAATAGCAACCAGGCGCAGTGTAGGTATTGGCTAGTTGGCTGTTTAGAGTAAGTAGTTAAGTAAGCGCGCTAAGCTAGACTATAAATACAATTATAAATACATGTCTATGAATTCTAAAGTTCCGAAATTGAAGCTAGGTATAGTAAAATTATACATATGATTTATATTAAGAATATTTTAAAATTATATCAAAAGTGCGCAGAAAGAATAATAACTATGTAATATTGGCAATACATATATAATTTTACAATAACAAAAGTAAATTTTATTGTAAAACAAATTAAGTTTTCATTAAATTAAATAGGCGACGTAAGAATATAACACAAATTCACTGGACTTCACGATTTCAATAATGCAAAAATTATGCTCACAAAAATTATTAAGGTAGTAACGGTTACAGAATACATAAACATATATTATATTTAATAAAATAAACAAAAAAATATATAAATAACTTACAAAAATTATGCATAATAATCACAAGAGATCTAAGAATTTAAACATAAACAAATTAACAAAAAATTACAGTTAAAAGAATTTATTTTTAATACCCAAAAAAAAAACGCGTATACAGCAAAGACTTAAAAAATAACTGTAATAAATACGCACAAAAACAAAAGAAAAATACTAACAACTAGCACAAAGAGTTTTTTTGAGAACGTAAACTAAGAGAACAAATGTAAATGCTTAAATACTCTTTAATAATTGTTTTCCAAACAACTAATACTAATTTAAAAACAAGTATTTGTAGATTTGAAACACCTAGACTATACTAACCGCTAAAACAACTACATAAATCTATATTGAATGCTTTAAAAATAACACAAAAAACAAGAAACTACGCTAATAATAAAAATAGTTAGTAAGTCATACGTAAACATTTTTTGCAATTTTTCGCAGTGTAGCGCTTGGCCTATTGAGAGCGCTACGCTCACACAGCACGCATTCGTTGAATTTGTTGTTGTTGTTCATGTATTGCATAGAACATATACTTAAGTTAATTAAAGGAACAATTGAAGGTTGAAAAATAAATAAATTATTTATAAGGAAGTGCGATTTAAAAAACTATAAGTGAGTAAAAAATATGCTCAAATATTTACTATATTTTTGCAAATACTCCTAGCGTGTCTAGGCGTGGCAGTGTACGAACTGAAACGTGTATATGTGTATAAATACTTTCAATAACATAGAGAGTAATATATCGAATGAGCATGGCAACTAGATAGAGAGAGTACAAGGTGTAGATATGTGTGCGTGAGTGTATATAAGTACAATACACGGCACAAAATGGGACGAAAACTGCTTACAACTAATATATTCGTACATATTATAAACTAAGAAAATTATTAACAATGTCACTGCAAGAGAGAAAAGTCTGGTGTCAACTTCATAAATGACGTTTGGTGGGCACAACAAGACGCGAGAGACAGAGAATAAGCTTTAAATACGCTTTCTCAGATTTTTTCACAGCAATGCTTCGAAACTAATGCTAGGTTGTTAAGAGTGTACTACTTGCGCAAAGCTTTCATTAAGTTTGTGCAGCTTTCACTACTTCAAGTGAATAAAATTTGGCTGCGTTTCTATTTTGTGCTAATACAGCGCCGCCTACTGTTCAAAAAAGATGCCTTTATTTAAATGGTAAACGTATTTGTATAGAGCTTTCATTTAACAACCACGAGGTCGTTATTAATTTTAGCTTTCGATTACCTCATAGCAGTAACATGCTGAACATAATTTAAAGAATTTTATGGCTACATAGGAACGACTGAGTATTAGAAACGCCGCTTTTTAATAAAAAAAAAACTGTGAAAGCTCATTGGTAAGAAATTGCGCTTTATCAGTAGTTTTAGCTTTCGGTATAACCTTTTTTCATGTGGTTTTTTGAGCTTGTTACTGAAATACGTTAATTGATTTAGCTTTCATTAGTGTATGCAAATAGCTTTCTTGTAGCTTTTACATTTAAAGCTTTCTCAGGTGTTGCAACTTAGTCTGACTAAACAAGTTTTTAAATTTCGATCTGTCATAATAGATCATTAATATTACGAATCATTGTGAAAGCTTACACAGTAGCAACGCTTTTTTAGTTTCGATGAAATTACCAGAAAGCATGACAAACACCAATAAAGAATACAATTTAACTAAATAGTTTCTGTTTCGATGTTCTTAAATTTGCATTAGGTATCGAAAATATTGGAGAAGAAATGAAATAGTCTTAAAAGCTCACACTCTTGCTTAGTAAAATATTCTTAAAATATTTAATGGCAAATCGAAAGTTAATGACTACAAGTATATATTTAGTTAAAATGGCATGATTTAGGCTGGGATTTTGCAGTTATATACTTGGACTTAAAGCTCTCAAGCTTTGTTAACCTACTGTCCAACTACTAACAGCTACACCAATAATCTTGTTGCTTAAAGCACGATTAATGTTTAATTCATAAACATGGTAAATCTCACGTTGTATGGCAACTTAAAGCTTTTAGTTCAATAATTCTGCAGCGAGTTGCTGTATACAACAAAATATGTAAAATTTGAGTGCCGCCTAATATTTAAGTTACTAAATTAAAATGCTACTTGGTTTGTGTAGTTTACTTTAAGTTTATATGCAAACTTCAGTGCATGCGTGAAAGCTCAATGTAGAGCTTAGTATTAATGAGAAGGAATTATGGGCGTTGTGAAAGTATTCGTTCATTTCGTTGTAATGCATTTTACTTATTTGTCTTATATTTCTTACATGTATCTAAGCTTTTTAAAGCTTAAGAGAGCTTTCACTTTAGGTTATACCCAAAAAATAGGCACGCTTATATTAAAATTGTCTGTTAGTAAGTTCAAATGATACTTATGTTTCGTTTTTGCAAAGTATGCTTAAGTAGCTTTTTAAGTACAAGTGATTTGGTAAAACGCCGCCACAAAAGCTTCGAATAAACTTTCATGTTCAAGTAAGAAGAATTAAACGCAGCGCTTTGACCCTGCATGCTAGACTTAGCTAACAAATTAATTTGTCATATCCGTTTGGTATTGTAAGTCTGTGGGATTTCGTGTGCGTGCACGCTTGAACGCCTCCAAAAAGTCAACTTCTTACGAGGTCTTCATTTTCTTGTATGGATTCAGCACCATGGCACTGCCCGTCGCACTGGCCGGCGCAGCTGTCATGCCGGATAGCGTGGCTGGCATGCCAGCTGCCGTAGGCATAGCTGTCTGTATTGCACCGATAGCTGCATAAGGATACGCAGTCGACGCCGGTGCAGCCATCATGCCAGCCGGGTAGAAGAAACCCTGCTGTTGCATGGCAGCCGCAGCGGCTGCGGCCGCGTATTGCGAATTGCCGGCAGTAGGTGCGGCAGACAGCTGCACTGCCTGTGGACGCAGAGCGGTATGTGCTGCAGCTGCGCTGATGTAGCCGCCGGCGGCAGAAGAGGGCCGCGTTAGCAGGCCGCTCGCTGCAGCAGCGCCTGGTGTCGGTGTATGCACCGGCGTGCCGACGGGCGTTGACATGCCCGAACTGGACAGTGAGCCCGCCGATAGAGCTGAACGCTGCATGTGAGCAGCGGCTGCTGCCGCGGCGGCGTGCTGTGCGTGTGCGGCATGTTGTGCGACGGCAACCATCTGCTGAGATTGCGCCGCTTGTTGAGCATGTAAGAGCGCGGCATGCTGCTGCTGAGCAACTATGGCATTAGCGCTGCCAGGCATGGCGGCCATGTAAGCCTTACCTAACTGTAAGCCGGCATAAGTGCCTGCAGTTGGCATGCCAGTAGCGGCAGCTGCAGTAAGCGGTTTGCCACTCAACTGGTTAGCATTAACGGCGGCAGCCATTTTCATGGCGTTGACATAATTCTTTTGTGCTGCCTCTTTGGCGAGTGCGCTGGCATCGGCATAATAGCCGGTGGGTGTGGCACTGCCGTAAGCGCTGTAGGCGTAAGTGGGTGTCAATGTGGCCGCGCCAGCAGCCGACGAAGCGGGAATGCCGTAGGCAGCGGCATACGAAGGCACAGTCATGCCGGTTGCCGCCGGCATGTGAGCCATAGTGGTTGTGGGTGTGGCATAACCAGCATGCGAAGCAGCCAGCAGGTTGGCATACGAGGTGGCAGCGCTAGTGGGGACGCCAGCATACTGATTATACAGACGCAACATTTGCTGTTGTTGCTGCTGCTGCTGATGTGCCTGCTGGTAGGCAACCGCAGAGGCGGCGGAAACCGCCGTCGAGGCAGCTGAAAGCGGGGTCGGTAGTATGCCGGCGGCTGTGTTGGCATGGCCATTCAAGCCATTGTAGACGCTGTATGACTGTGTGTCACTGTGCGCGCCGTTGGACAAACTGGTGGACGGATAAGTGGAGGAGGCGATAGCGGCTGCATGGGAGTGTGCGGCTTGTGCCGCCTGTGCTTGGTAGGCGTAAGCGGCATACGCGGAGTGCGCTGCCTCATTGGCGGCGGCGGTTGATGTTTTATGTGTGGCATATTTAACAGGTGAATTGGCGACGCTGTATTGGTTAGCCGAAGCATTGTAGCTATATTTGCTGTTGCTAAAGTAGGGTTTGTTGCTATTGTTGTTATTGCTATCTTCACTAGCGTCTTTATCGTTTCTACTAGCGCTAGCATTAGCTGTGTGTGCTGTTAGTGCCGATGATTTTGCTGTTGTTGTTGTGTTGTCGAAAATGTATGCGCCAGCAGCGGCAGCAAAGAGTGAATTGCTACTCGTGGTAGTTGTTGTTGCGATAGCGCCAACAATTGCTGACGGAATGGTTGTTGGTGCAACAGCATCGTTGCCATCAGCAATGTCATCATCACATTCACCTGCTGCTGCTGCTGCTGCACTAGCTGTTGTTGTTGGTGTTGTTGTGGACGCTAACTTATTGCTACCGTTACTCAAAATATTATTATTCACATATAATACATTATTATTATTATTGTTGCTACTAGCCAAATTACTATCGCCATTGTTGTATGGCACATACGCTGACGAAATGGTTGTTACGCCGCCTGGCGACGGCGTTGACGTTGACGGCAGCGTTGACGACGCCTCATTGCCGGCTTGATCGCCGTTCTGATTACCGTTACTAGCCTGCGTGTATGTGCTACTACTACTGGTTTCATACAAACTACTAACATCTGCCGATGTTGTTGTGGTTGTTGTTGTTTGTGATGGTGATGATGTTGGTGTTGTTATTTGCAATGATTCTGTGTTTGGGATAGAATGTATGCTACTAGCGGAGGGGGAATTGGATGTGGGTGGGGTTGTTAGAGCGCTACTGTTGTTGTTGTTGCTATTGTCATTATGATTATTCATATTATTGTTGTTGCTGTTATTATTATTATACAGGGTGCTATTGCTACTATAATGTTGGTGTAAAGGATAATTGGAAGTGACAGTTGTTGTTGGTGTGGTTGTGCTTGGTGGTGGTGGCGGCAACAGATGCAACTGTTGTTGCATTTGTTGGTTGTGTAGCTGTTGTTGTTGGTGGTGATGCTGTTCAATCTGTTGTTGTTGTTGTGTTGTGATACTAGCACCTAATAATGTGGCGGCACCAATTGTAGCCGCCGCTGTTGTTGTTGTTGCGGCTGCTGCGGCGGCGGCTGCTTGTGCTGCTGCTGTTGCAGTAGTAGCATTATATGGATTCATATTGGTAGTAGTAGTAGTATTGGTAGAAGTACTCAAAGTAGAAGTAGTGGTAGTGGCGCTCAATGGCGTCCCACCATTTTGAGATTGGTACTCACATGACACTGGTACGAACGGCTGTTGCAGTTGCATGAGTTGCTGGTAGGTGGTCGCGCCGGGTTGATACACTGGAATACCGGATTTTTCGGCAGCGGGACGCTTGAACGGTACCATTCCGGAGAAAGCCTGTTGTGGTATAGCGCAGAACATAAGACACAGAAAAAGAGATAGAGAGGAAGAGAGAGAAATGAAGAGAAAGAGAAGCGGGGAAAAAGCAAAATAAAAAATTAGTATATAATATTTTTGAAAATTCTCAAGTTTTTTATAAAAGCTTTAAACGAACATTAAAACTAAGCTAGCTTACAAACTGCTTAAAAGTGTAATTTTCAAAGCTTTTGCAACAAGCTGGTATGAGCGCGTTCGGAGCTTAAGGCTAGGTATGATATGTTTTTTTTTGAAATATATGATCGAGCTGGTGTGCGAGCGGCGGAATATATGATAAATAAGAGCGTTAGCTTTTAAAGAAAACTTGTATATAAATATATATGCGTTTGAAAGAAATGACAAAGCTTTTAGCCGACAAGCTTAAATATATCAAGTTTTAAAAATCATAAAAGGATCTATAAAAAATAGTAATCACCAAAGCTTTTACAAAATTGTCAAAGCTGTAGTTAACAAATTGTTGGCTATGAAAGCTTGCTGAAAATCTGAAAAGCTGCGTGTTGGAAAAACATTATGACTTTTGATTAAGCGGTGTAGAAGTTTTAATGTTATTAACTATTTTTTTGATAGGAAAGTGGTAAAGACTTAGATAATATTTGTTTTACTGGTAAAGCTTTAAAATTATTGTCGATTGTATTCAAAACCAATATTTTAGCTTTGGAAATATATGCTAAAGCTCTTATGCTTTTGAAAAAAAATTTAAATAGAAATACCCAAAGTTACAAAATGAGCTTTTTCCTTCAAACATTTTTTTGATTGAAACGCACTAAGCTGTAAATGAAGCTTATCCAATTTTATTTTTAATTCCAATCTAGTTTCACTATATTTAATTAATAATTTCGAAAAGCTTTCTAGCGTTTTAAGCTTATTTCCAGTATTTATCTAATAATAGCGTAACCAATGATCGATTATTAAAAGCTGAAGTAATTGTTCGCATTATAATATATAATAAAAAGAGAATTACAGGTCAATACGAGTAACAGGAAGCTTGCAGGATAACAAACGATAAAAAATATGTGTAAATGCAATTTTGAGTACCTTTGGAAAACTGATTCTCCCTTTAGATGTTTTTAACAATGTGAACTTTTACTCTATTAGGACTTAAGATATTATATCAATTCTGTCGCGTTTTTGAAACTTTTCGGTATGCGATTAACAACTATGAGATTAAATTAAGTTATGCTTTTGATTCTTACACAAAACTGTTATATACGGAACGCTTTTAAAACACAAACTTACATATCATTTGCATCATAAACTAGGCTAAGCAGACCTTCAGTTAATTGTTACACTTTCCATAATAAAATTTTTTAATAAACATTTTTCGATTTCTCTACGGAGCAGAGGGAACTTAAAGCTATGAAAGTTCTGAATCTTTCAAAAGCATTTATAAAATTCATATTGAATATTCCACAGCTTAGTTTAATATAAAATTTTCGTTTTTATTTAAAAGTGGTGGAGCAAAGCCTTTTAAAGCTTAAACATTTCTGAAGCTTTTGAGAGTTTTTTTAAATTTCATATTAAAAATTCTAAGGTTTAGTTTAATAGAAAATTTTCGATTTTATTCAGAAATAGTGGGGCGGAGCTTTTAAAGTTGTAAGACTTTCAAAAGCTTTTTTTAAACTCATATTAAAAATTTCACTGAATAGTATTTTTTCATTATTTCTGAATGTGTAAAAGCTTTTACTGTCTCGAATTTGGAGCTTTAAGCCTTTCAGTGTTTTATGGTTCTATAAATAAATATAGATTGCAGCTTTTATTCTTGAATATTTGTAAATCTCCGAAATGTATGTGTTTTTTTTTAACTATATTTCTTTATGTGTTTATGAAATAAATATTTTCTTAGTACGTATTCATGCATGCACAAAAAGAGTCCAAATAAAGTATGCAACAACTTGAAAGAGTAAAAGAGTTAGTTAGAAAGTATATTTCCATTTGAAGAAAGTGAGTATAACTAAACGTAAGCGAAACATAGAACTTGTACAATAGTTGTAAGAAGGACTTTTCAAAGGTACACAAAAATGCGGGTTTAGTACTTACGAAATTTTCATAGTAAAATGAACCAACCGTTTTAACATCCATCTATTTTTTGGTTGTTTGCGACATGTGTGCAATGTTAATGATTTGTTTTTGTAAATTTTTTTTTTGCGATAAAATTGGAGAAAGTGGGCGTTCAGCCGAAAGGTTGGCGCAGCAGTGAAGACACATTGCAGCAGAAGGAACAGTTGGCAGTGGTGATGGTGGTAGTTGCAGGCAGAGTTGCATTTTATAGTAGTAGTAGTTGTAGTAGTAGTATTAGCGGTAGTAGTAATAATTGTGATGGTGGTGTTGGTGATGATTGCATTGGCAAAAAGTAGTTAGGTTGTAGGCATTGAGGTGGCATCGTTAACCGTTATTATTAGTTTTTTATTTTAAATTTTCGGTTGATGGTTGTTGTTAGTAGACGGTACAGGTTATATATATATTTTTTTATTATTTTTAATTTTTTTTGATGATAAAACACAAACAGTCACACACATTGTGTAGTAACGCAAATGATGCAAACAAACGTTGTGGAAGAAAAGAATACACAGAAAGAAAGAAAACACATAAAATTAGTTAAGTGATATTGATGATGATTTCTTTGGTTATAAATATATTATTATGTATTTAACTAGCTTTACATAAACTACGATATGTATACTCGCATAGAAACGTACATATGTTTGTTTGTATGTATGGGCTATATGTATTTTAGGTAACTAATGCCTTTATGTGTAGGAAAAAAATTTAAATTTGACAAAAGAAAAGTTTTTTCTTACAATATGTAGTTTATGTGTATGGTTGCGTGTGCGCTAAGTGTTTTGGGTAATAATTTTATTGTGCTTGTTGTTATTTATGAATGTGAACACTAATATTTTAATTGATATTTTACTAAACGGCAAACTAAACATCGCAAAATAATAAAAATATAATTAAAATTTGAGGAAATAAAGCTTTTACTCATTAAGCTTAAAGCTTTCAAGCAGTTAAACTTCACTACATATTTCTTTGAAATTTATTACTTAACAATGGGGTGCGTGAAAGCTGTATTATTTCAAACTTGGTTTACTTAAAGCTTTCTCGGAGCTTTTTTGGATGACATAATCTTCCGTTACAATTTTTAAAAGCTTTGTGCTTAGGTGCGACAAAACTAAATAAGCACCACCTCGCTGGGTTTTTTAAACGTTTCAAAACTATACCCCTGAACTTCTTTAAAATTTTTTTGATTGTATCACAAAATTTCAAGTTTGGAAAATTTTTTTTATTTTACACAACTTAGAAAACAAGAAAATCTGTATTAACTAACAAAAGTCTTGTTAATTTAAAGCCTCTTCGAAGCTTTTAAACCGAAGTCAAATGACATACATTTTGTTAAATGAAGGTTAAACTTAAAGTTTGTGGTTTTCGCCTTTAAAACTACTGCAAGAATATTAGTTTAAGCTTATTGAGCTTTTGAAATGCTACGTAGAGGCGATTTTAACGCAGGGGTATTATTTTCGGTGATTTTGATGTGCTAATACATGAAACCTAAGCTTTTTATATTATTTATGTTGAAAGACTTCCAAATTTCCAACATTTTTTCGAACGTTTAAGAATAAAAAAATGTTAGGGAAAGCGCTTTGGTAAGTAGAAAGCTTTTGTATTGTAAAGAAAGAATCTATCGGCATAATAGTAGTCAATATTCGTTTGCATATTGTCAGCAAGAACTTAATATTAAGGAGGCATTCTAATCTAGAAATAAAAAACATCGATTTTTTTATATTTTCAATGAATTCAAAAATATGTGAAAAGGTATTATATCGGAGATATTGGTATATACGAAACTTTAAACGCGTTTTTCTCGAAGCTGTCATTTTCAAAACATTACTCACGATTTTTCAACTTCTACTGGACCGATTTACCTGAAATTAAATTCAGTTTTTACTATTTGTACAAAATTCGAACAGTCAAAAAAAAGTGGTACAAAAACTGTTTTTTTTCAGGCAGTCGCCATTTCGTAAAAAAATGTTCCAACTTTTCCATAGAACCAGATTAATAATTTTCTTTGTGGTTTCAGAGTGTGAGGAGGATTGAAATCGTGGGTATGGTCACGTGCCAATTTTTTGAGGCCCCCTTCAGCAGCTGCTAATTTTTGAAATGTAAACAATTATTTTATTTTATTTATTCTTGTATTATTGCATTGTTAATTAATAACTAATAACAAAATTAATAGTAAAAATATGAATTGCTTTTTTTTACAAAATTACTGCAATCCATGCTTCTAGAATAGAATACCCCCTTCATTTATATTATAATTATTGAGCTTAGAGCTTCCAGAAAACTTTACTTCGAGAGCTTTCGCATCTTTTAATATTTACGGTTAGATAAAAGATTTTCATTTTACGTTACGCTTGGAGCAAGCTTTCACTTAGCAAAGCTCAGTAGCTCGGAACATTTATACAAAAGTATTATAGCTTCGAGAAATTTTTTAAGCTGAATGCAAATATACATTTATTATTTGCCTATTTGCATTTGTAATATTCAAAGAATTTCAATTAAATACACCGATAAACTGCAAAGCTTTAGATGTTTCATTTTAAAGATAGGTTGTGATATAAATATTTTTGGAGGAAGAGAGGTAAGGGTAAAACAGATGGATAACTTAAAATGCTTTAAGCGTTAAGCAATAGAACTTTTAAGTTACAATAAAAGCAATTGAACATGCGCAGAAAAGTATGCTATGCCGAACACACACCAGTTGGCAAATTAATGCAAATTAAATGCATAAGTGGGTGAAAATGTGTAAGTCATGAAATTATTTTTGGTATTAAAGTTTAAAATTATAAAATTTGAATAAAAAATAAGTAAATACATTAATAATTGTTCTTTTAATTATAAAACTAATTTTTAATGAAATAAGACTTTAAACTAATGTTGTTAACGTAGGGTGTGAAAGAAATTTAGATGAATGGTTACACTTTGAAAGTCCTTAATATGCATTTAAATTGAAAATGAAGTAACTAAACAACAACAAAACATTTACAAATATAAAAGTATTGAAAAAAAAAATTATTTATAAATATATATGAATAAATGTATACTAAGTTAATGCAACGCAACAAATTCAGCTGAACTTATGTAAATGAAACGAAAAACAAAAAACACAAAAAAGAAAACGAATAACAAAAACAACACAAAGTGAAGAAGTAGAAGAACAAATACCAGTTGTAACATGTCATTGTCCGCGGCGGCACGTTTCTTGCCCACTTCCAGTTGATGATGATGATGCTGTGCATGATGAGCGCCAGCGCTCGCTCCCACCCCACTGCCTGCGGCGCCCATAGCGAGTGCAGCGGCAGCAGCGACGGCAGCAGCATTGGCGGCGTTCGTCTGCGTTGTGCCCTGAGCCTGGACCTGTGCTTGAGCGGCCTGCTGTTGGGCAGCAGCGGCTGCGGCAGCGACGACGGCAGCTGACGACGGCATGTTGTTGGTCGAATGATGGTGCTGTTTGTTGTTGCATTGCATTGTTTATGGTGGCAGTAAAGCGCAGTCAGGTCGGCAGTCGCAGTGTAAAGGTGAGCACAGGTGAGTTTTGTAGTGTGTGTGTGTGTGTGAGTATTTGTGTTCGCGTGCATTGTGGTGTTTTGTTGTCGTTTTATTGTAGTTTTTGTAACATAACGGTTAGCAATTTCATATTAATAATTAATTTTTTGTAATTATTTATCGATTTTTTCAATTTATTGCATTTTTTTAAATTTATTATACATTTTTTTAAATTTATTTATTAATTTTTTTTTGTAAACAATTTCGTGGTTGATTTGTGGCATGAGCGCATTTTGCACAACAATAAAAAGTAATATGTTTGTTAATGGCACAATCAACACAATGACAATCAATTAATTTTGCGTTTTACACAAATTGTTTGTTGTTGTTGTTCGCATGTTATGCGCACGCCGTATAAATTTTTCAATGTCATAATTTTATTATCAGTATTTTCGAATTTTGACGGTCGCGCAATAAATCGCAGAAATTATTTCGGTTCATTAAGCGCAATTGAGTTTTCGTTTTCGGTCAATTCAAAATTAAACGGATATATTGTGATGGTACATATTTATTAATTTTACCATTTTGAGAAATGTTTTCAATTATATAATATTTTTTTTTATATAGAAAAATAATTAAAAAATAGTCTCAAATTAAATTTTTGTCGAATAAGAAAAAAGTTTTGAAATCAGTTATTTAAAATAGTCAAAGTGAAAAATAATATTGCAAAAACATGAATAAATATGAAATTAAGCGGTTTTTTTTGGAATGTGTTTTATAAAAAAATATTTTATAATATTGTTTAAGATTACATTTTTTATTGTTATTTTAAGAAAATTATTTAAAAAAATTAGAAAGATGTGTTATAAATATTTGTATGACAATTTAAATTTTTATATATGTTTTGGAAAATTTTTTTTGTAATATAATTTTATTATTTATGTTTTATATTTTCAGATATATTTTTATATAATTTTTTTTTTATGTTTATAATTTTAAAATTTATTTTCAAATTAAAATATATATATTTATTGCATATTTATAATAATAACAAAAGGTGTTTTTTATTAATTAAATTAAATATGCATTTTTTTATTTTTATTATTATTATTTAATTTTTTAAATTTTTTATAATTTTTAAATTTCATTTGATTAATTAGTTTGCAATATTTTATTTTATTAAGATAGAAATACAATATTTTGTATGGAAAAATTTTTTTTTAAATTGTTTTTAATTGCATTAATTATAGGTAAACCATTTAAGTTTTTATAGCATTTTTGTTGTTGTTATTTTTATAGAAATTTAATTTTAATTGTTAATTTTATAAATTTTAATTGATAATTTTTTATTTATCAATTTTATGCAGTCCGCGTCATACGTTCACATAAGTGCATGTATGTGTGTGTGCGTGATGTTGGTGTAAATGTTTGAAAATATATTATAGTGTGCGTGCGTGCATAATTTTTGTCCGCAGACCATCATTCAACGAAGCATACATTTATGAGTGCCGAGTAGGACGCGCGCGTGGTAACAGGAAATTAAGAGGTACGAATACGAAATGAAAAAAATAAAAGAAACAAATTTTTGTTGGTTTTCTTGTTTGTTCTCGTTATTGTATTAAGTACTTAGAATTTACAAAGAGATTTTATGTGTAAAATAATTATGAATAAAATATATTATATGTATTTATGTCTGTGAGTGCGGGTGTGTTAACTGACTAAATCTTTTGCAACATATATTTTTTTATTTATGTTGTTTATAACAAAATCAGTAAGATGTATAAATTTTTATTTTTGTTTTCAAAGCTTCTAAAAGCCAGAATTAATTTTTGGTATTATACATTAAACTTGCATCAACTCTTCATCTGGTTTTAGTACAAGTTTCTTTATAATATAGAAAAGTTAGTAAAAGCTCAAGCTATTTATATGCTTTCGTTTCCTAAAATATTACACCTGGTTGCGACAACTTTTGAAGCTTTTAGAGTTTTTTTGAACTTCAACCGATATTAAGTTGTTTCAAAATTATTTTGCTAAAAGCTTTCCTATAAACTAAACGGGCTGAGAAAGACTCTAATAAGCATTTGGAACTTGGCTGAGAAAGCTCTTGAAAATTGTCATACGATCTTAGTTTTCCAACTATCACTGCCACTTATATTTAGTATGTTCGAAAGCTAGTTTTAATAAGGATCTAAATATGTTGAAAGCTGCTTATTTTTGAAAAATTTATCTACGAAAGCTTTCAAAGCACACTGCGCCATATAATTAATAAATTTTGTAAGTGAAAATGTTATACGTTCTTTGTGTTTTCTAAATGCCAAAATTGGCAAAATGTTGTGAGAGGCTATAAAATGCGAAACTTAAAACTAAATTCATTAAAAAAATAATTCATATAAATTTAATAAATAAAGGCTTGAAATTATTGAATAAATAGTAAAGTATTTGTTAGTTATATAAATACATTGAAATAAAATATATAAAAATATATAATTTTTAAGCCAAAATGTATGCTGAATGAAATGCGTTAAAAAGCTGCAAAAGCTTTCGAAATTAAATCTTAGTAGTAAAAAGCTTTTTTGACAGCCATCTTTCATATATTAAAGTTTTTTGAATTAAAACGCAGTTATGCGTTAAGTGATTATGTAATATATTGTATTATGAGTAGAAATGTGTGCAAATGGGCAAGTAAGTTAGTAATGACGAAGCTTAAAGCTATTTGTATGGCGTGTGCTGAGCTTAAAAGCTAACTTAAGCTCAACATATAATTTATACTAAGCATAAAATGTGTGAATTAGAATATATAGTAGTTGTGTGTGCGTAGAGTTATATTTAATAAAATATAAATATTTAGACATATTAAATAGAAAAATTGCATCATAAAATATTTTATAAAATCAAAATGTTTGCGTTTCTCATAAAAAATAACCATTTGTATTGCTGTTTATAATAAAATATGGAATTAAGTCTTTTGAAGATACAACAAAATCCTGTTATGGCAAGGATTTATGCAGGCTCCTTGGCTTTCAACTTTAGGCAGCCAATAATATTTACCAATTAACGCCAATTCACTTTTATCACACACTCGTATTTTTTGTAGGATTTTATAACAACAAATAATTAAGAATGTTTAATAACAATATAAATTTTATTTATACTTAAAGAAATTTTGCGAAAATAATATATTTAAATTATATACATTTTTTTCTCAAAAATTGTTTGAAAATGTTTTTTAAATATTTTGTATGATAACTCGTAGTTTTTGCAACTAATTCGCTGTTTTGTTTGGTTTTTTTAATACTTATATAGTTTGTTTTATTTATTTTTCAGTGTCTTTTAGTTCCTAATAAATTGTTTTTAGTTAAATTTGGTTGGAATATTTTTTGTCGCATACCTACCGATGCATCGTTGCAGTTAAAAAACTGTTTTTGCTTCAAGGTTGTCAAATTGAAAATATTAATAATGATAATTTTTTAAAGAAATTGTAAATATATCGTTTCTGTAATTTTAATTCTTAAAAAATTATAATAATAAAAAAATATATCTATAAAAATATAAAATGTATATATTTTTAATACATTTTTTTTATAAAAAATATATACTATTTAATAAAATTTATTTTTGATTATAAAATATTTATATATTTTTTTACAGTTCATAATTTTTATAATTTTCGTATGTTTTAATCTTCTTAAGTATTATTTCTATAAAAACTTTTTTTTATATATTTTTACAATTTAAATAATTTTTAAGTACTGCAAAATTTTACACAATTGGAATTCAAAGGCTTTAAAACTTAATTTAACTATTTTATATATTAAATAAAAAATAAGATTTTTTGTTTAATTTTTTTGTTTATATAATATATTTTTTTTTAATTTTAATTTAATTTTTAAATAATATAAAAATTAGTTTTTATTTAGAAAAAAATTTCCAATATAATAAAAAATATAACATGGTCATAACTCATAAAGAATATCGTAGTAAGATATAATTATTTGTAAATGTATATTTGTTTGTAAACATTTTTTCGGAACTACAAGATGTAGAATGTGATATCAAATCAAAAAAATAAATAAATTTTCTATAAAATTTTGAGCATATATTTTACACACCTTTTCTAAGTGTTTACGAATTCTAACTCGTAATTTTTTCGAGGATATTTTTCAAAAATATTTGTTTCATTCTGGTTATTTGTTTTTGAATTCGATGTTTACTCTTGCTACTATCTTTAAATTTATTTCACTGTATTCAAAAACCAAAAAAATTTAAAATATAACATTTATACTAACTTATTTAAAGGAATTTTTCGTATATATTTTTTTAAATAAACAATTTGTATATTTTTTGATCAAATTTAGTTTTGCATTTATTACTGCCATTTTTGGCTCGGAGTGTATGAAGTTTTAAATATTTATAAGTTTAATTATGTTTTAATAATTTATTGTTTTTTTGCAAAAATTTCGCGCTGAAAATGTCATTCGCTACAATTATAATTATTTTTTGAACGTATTTTATATTTTAAATGAATGTAAGTATAAAATTTATTTGGTGTATTTTTTGTTTTTTTCTTAAAACTGTCAATATTTTGATATTGTTGTTGCTGCTAGTGAATATTAGTATTTATCCGTCTTTTTAACATTAATTTACTTGATATATACATTTTTTATATTTTGCCTATTTGCGCATTTTGTTGTTCTTGTGTACAAATTCGGTACAACAAAACTTAAATTTTAAACAAAAATTTTCATATTCGAAATATGGGAGTTTATAGTCGGTTTATCACCGCTAAAAATAACTTTATAATTCCTTCAATACAACAAAAATGTACAACTGTGTTACTAACTCGCGTCCAACTCGAGAGTTGCACGTTTAATCCTTTTAACACTGCAATTTACAGCGCATTCATTTGCGCCGCCCAACCGCTACAGCGAAACGCGCCCACTTAACCCAAGCGCTGGGCGTTA